TAAAGTACATGATGCGTGTAGCCGCCTTACACCACTCAGCCACACATACAAAAAAAAGAGGAAAAGCAAAGGCATCAGTCAGGAGAAGGCGCCACTGAGCCTTCTGCATCAAGAAGAGCATCGAGCACGGTTCATGAAGTGCACTCTCACACTACCGCACCAATGATTCGAGAAAGGGGTGAAGCAAAATTGCCTTCTTCTATGTACAGCTGTAGTTGATGCCATCCCAGAAGAGCGCCAGAGAATGGGAATATGGTAGTAGCAACACATAAACTCGGCATTTACTGTGCGAGTGCAAGTGTAGCCGCAGTGGCCCTTTGTTGCCAGGACGAGACGCAAGGACGCGGCTCCGTTAGTGTGCCAGCTGTCGCCTTCACCTGGCAGAGGCCGCTAGAGAAAGTCACAAAAATGCCACGAAAAAACAAAGCTGCAGCAAATGGGCATGCAGTCCTCGGGAGTCCCTTCAAATCGTCTAACCGACTTCGTCAGTGCGCCCACGTCGCATGAGCCGGCGCTGCAGAGTCGCAATTATCATGAAAAAGCAAACACATGCACGCACACAAAAGCCAAGATAATCCGTCCATGACGTTTTCAGAGGTCCTTTCAAAAAAAAAAAGGAAGCATTCTGCCCGGTGATGTAACCCGCTTCTTGGCCTTAAAGCGCTTTGTCAATGCCAAAACACAGCAGCTGGTATTTAAACGAGCAACTTCACACCATCTGCGTTGCGTGCGTCTCCGAGGTTTTCTTCTCAGTTACCACAAACAGAATATGATCATGAGGAGAAGAGGGGTCATGCCATACATGCCACACCTTTCAGAATATCCAATGTTTACATACAGCGCTTCTTTCTCACCCACGCATTTAAACAGTGTTAAGCCTCAACGTATGGATGACCCTGAATAACAATGTAAGCATTGTTTGAACAAAAAAACATCTTCGGGGCTGCGAACAACACTCACTTCAGCGATGCGGACAAGCAAAACCCCCACAAAACACATCTCTCACAAGAATAAAAGCTGCGACCACGAACAGCATAGTGATATATACAAATAAGACTCCGTGCAAAACAAGAAAGGGTGCATTCTTGTCCGCCCATCGCAACTTTAAATCACCGTTTTCAAGTGCATATAGTTGGCACATGAAGAAATGAAGGTCGGGCCAATCGACAGGTTTCTTGTTCTGCGGTGTCATGGCCCAACGCGGGTCCTTGATTCACTATATCGGTGCAAACCGTCCTTGTTTTTTTTCTTTTTTAAGTGAAGCAAACACCCCTTCAGTAATGCAGAGCGGAGAAGGGTCAGCGAAGAAAACGACAAAAATGCATTACTTCAATGCCCGATTTTTTGACAGGTTGCGCTCCATTTGCGATAAGGCTCCAGCAGCCAGTAGTCAAAGGACCCAGCCTGTAAGTTCGCCAGCCACGTTTAAAACGGCAGCCCCTGTTTTTTTTTAATGAGCATGCCGAAGGAGGAAAGGCGGCTAGGTGCAATCACGTCAGCGCCAATAAGGGCCCAAATCGTAGAAGGCACGGGTCCTTTCTGATTCGGTGGCCGCAGGGAGTTGCGATAGGCCACCCGCCACGCAAGCGAGAAAGAATATGTTCCCGCCAATGTGAATCGGCGCCGGGGGCCAGGCTGCAATGATGTAGGGGAATGCTGTAGAAAAAAAAACGCCCTAATCCTTTTTTTTACTGCCTATACAGCCATGCGCCCAAAACCATCGAAAAACGCTCCAGTGCCGTAGCACCGGCCCACGGCGTTGCCGACGACCCCGGCGGAGCGCCCACACATGGGCGAAAGGAAAAGCCTTTGGGCGGAAGATGTGGGGCGAGGGTTTTTCTCAGCGCCGACCCGGATTACCCCTCCTTCTGGCGACCCGCCGCGGGAAGATCCGGGTCGTGAAAGCTGCTTTCTGTTTGCTTCTCTTTGTCCGTTCATCAGTTTTCCGAATTGCTTTGAACACACTATTTTTTTTTCTGTTGTTTGCTGATGGTGTGGGCGGGTGTGCTTTTTCACTCGAGCGCGTTCCAACCGGGCGCGGTTTTGTCTTGTTGTTTGTTTGCCGTATTTTTCACGTTTTTTTTTCTCTTACTTTGAGGGTATCGGCAATCGGGTGTTTCTATTTTTTTTTCATTTTCTCCTTACTTTTTTTCCATCCCATTCTCACCTGCTGCCAAAGTAGCGGCCATGGAAACTTTCCCGTCTATTCTGGGAGTGAGAGCTTCCGAGAGAGAGTGCAAGTATATAAAAAAGAAACTCATAGGAATGGGATCATACGGAGAGGCATGGCTTGTTGAGCGTGTGGAGGATCACGCCATTTTTGTGGCCAAGGTAATGGATTTGGGAAAAATGTCTTCTCGTGACAAGCAGTATGCTCATAGTGAAATTAAGTGTTTAGCAAATTGTGGCCATCCAAACATTATTCGATTTATTGAGGATCACGGGGAAAACGAACAGCTGCTTATCATTATGGAGTTTGCCGATTCGGGAGATCTTGATAGACAAATTAAAGCGCGAGCTCAAGACAATTTTCGTCACTTTCAGGAACATGAGGCATTATTTTTGTTCTTGCAACTGTGTCTTGCTTTGGACCATATCCACAGCCACAAGATGCTTCACCGGGATATCAAGGGGGCGAACGTTCTTCTCACTTCGACGGGGTTAATCAAGCTGGGTGATTTTGGATTTAGTCATCAGTACGATGATACTGTGTCGGGTGTTGTTGCGAATACATTTTGTGGGACACCTTACTACTTGGCACCAGAGATATGGAACAATCAAAGGTACAGTAAAAAGGCTGATGTGTGGTCATTGGGTGTTTTATTGTATGAAATCGTGACACTCAAAAGACCTTTTACAGCTACCAGTATGAAGGGATTGATGGCAAAGGTTCTCAGCGGCGAGTATGCCCCAATTCCTGAGAAGTTTTCTATCCAGTTGAGAGAGCTCGTGCGTGCCATTCTTGCTATTGACGCGAATGAACGGCCAGGTATTCGGGAACTATTTCAAATTCCATATGTGAAAGAAGGATTAAAAGTGTTTAGGCAAACTGTCAAGAAGAATACACGTATTGCGGAGGACGTGAAGGAGGCACTGATCTATCATGTGTCTGAGATTCTTTCTTCAGAGCCTGTGTCAGAGCCGCGCAGTGGTTTGGTGGGTCAAATAAATCTGGATGTGAACTTTAAGGGATACGTAAAGAAGCTAGGTAGTGGAGGTGGACGTTCTTGGAAGGAGAGGTATTTGCAGATTGCTCGCGGTGTATTGATTCTTTCAGACAGTGAAACGGATCAGGAAGGAAAGGCGTTGAGTCTGGAACAGGTTCAAAGCGCATGCCCAGTGCCATTTTGCACTGCCAAGAGGGAGTTTGTTTTTGCACTTAACACTATCGGCGGTAAGTCGATGTGGTTTCAAGCTGAATCTCACGAAAACATGGAAATGTGGATTGACGCAATTCATCGAGGAATTGGAGTTTCTTGAAGGCGTCTTTTTTGGGTGTTTTTTTTTGTTTATTACTATTATTATTTTTGTTGGTGTTTGTGGAGGTGGGGGTTTTCAAAACTCAGATATACGGCCCCTTTCCTCACTTGCTCTCTTCCCTCGCTGCGGAAGTGGTCGTGTATATCTGCATCTTTAGTTCCTTTCACGTGTAGATGGCTGTGTTCTTTGTTGGCTCATTTATTTTTTTTTTTTTTCGTAGAGCTCCAGGTCTTTACAGGGGCCTCACAATGTCCTCGAATGCATTTATACTTGGTTTTAATTCCCCTGCTTCGGTGTGTCCTATAGGCAACGCTGTTCTTGTGGGAGCAGGAGGAGGTGTTGTTGTTAGACATGGAGGAGAATCAAGTCAATGGGTGCCCGCTGACGGTCGCTATCCTGTTGATCATATGGCATACTCGTCTGTTTTGCACTTGCTTTGTGTAACCGAGAAGAGGCTCAATGTTGTTTTGCATGTGTTTAGGTTTCCCGAGTTGAATCGCGTGCAGAAAGTGGATGAGTTTGCGAGAGTAGAGGTACAAGATATGCAGTTTTCACCAAATGAAGAGATATTGGCCGTTCTAACATGCATACCAAGTTGTTCTGTAACACTTTTTACGGTTCAACGTGGACGTACACTTGAAAAATACGCCTCTGTGGAGTTGGCTGATAAATTTTGGAAATATTTGGTGTTTTCTCCACAAAGAACAGATTGTGTAGTTGTGTGGGATGCTGAGGAAGTTGCTCTTATAAGCCATTTGTCGTTGGAGTCAGCTTCTCCTAACTTAGTCTCGTTGGAGTCACCTGGCAGAGAATTTTATTCTTGCTGCTGGACTACGTACGGTATACTTTGTGGATTAGCACAAGGATCTATTCTCCTTTTTGATGAAATAAAGATGCGAATGCAGGATTATCTAACTTGCCCAGACAGCAGTGCAGTCACTTTCATGCTTCACACTACGGCTCTACTTCTGGCAGGGACAGAGGATGGTGCAATATTTGGCTACAAAATGGATGAAAAGGTACTGAACCTGCTGATTCGTGTCGAGCACGCCGTGGAACGACTGTTTCTTTTTGAAAATGGGGCAGATGCAGTGATTGTTACACGGGCTGAAATTATAAAGTTGAATCTAGACAAAATAGAATGTAATGTTGTCTTTTTGCGTGATACAGGGAACACAGTAAAGCTTTTGACCGTGGGTGAATATGTTATACGGATTTCAACAGAAGGCAACTTAATGCGATATGATAAAACGAAGAACGATCTACTTCATTTTACTACAGAATTTGGTGATAAGGCCGAAGATGCTTGCGTTGTAGGATCTGCTGTGATTATAGTGTATCAAAGTGGGAATATGCGTTGCTTTGTGGTTGGTGACGGATTTACATTTTCATCTCAGATAACACTGAGTGAGATGGCTCTCACCATGTGCGACTCCGATGGTGTATCTTCTTTGGCTGTAAGTGATGGAACTTCGGTTTACTTTGTTGCCCTGCATGACGGTGTTCTTCAACCTCTTGGCTCCGTGGATACTTTTACGGCTACGGTGACAACGCTTCGGTGGAGCCTTGGCGGACACCAGTCGGTTTTGGCAGCTTGTACCAATGGTGAGATACACATGGTTCAAGGCCTTGGTACGGTGGAAGCCTGCTTGGATACTGTGGCAGTGGAGATGGTGTGGCGCCTAGAGTATCCTGCTCATGACTTTCTCCCACTTTATATGGATGATGACGTGGTGAATATTTTGGTGCATTCACTGGACAAAGACACCAAATTATACGTTTTGGAGCGCCGACGAGAACGAGATATTAAACCGCTTCGTCCCTTGTTCCTGATGCGTGACCATGAGGGTAGCGGTGGGTCTATTCTTCAACGTTTTGGAGAGACCGCCGTTGTCTCTGGTGGGGCTGATGGCAAGGTGGTTGTAAGAGACATCTCACACTATCTTTTAAGGCTTACACCTATTCCACCTTCAAAGGAAAAGAGACGACCCCAGGGAGAGTTCCCGATAAGACACTTGGGCAAGGGGGGAATCACCTCGTTGTGTGCTTGGAATGACAACTTGGGCTTTGTTTGTGGAGGCAACGACCAAGTGGTGCATTTTATCCCCTTCAGTAAGTCTATGCATTATTCATGGACGGAGCCGATATGGCACAAGGAAAAACTTCCAGCTCTCTCATATACCAAACAAACTCCAGAAGAAGGGTTAAGTACACTGGGTGAACTAAACCAATCCAGTCTGCAGTCACGTTTGGCTGAGATTAGAGAGCATGTCCAGGAGTTGCTGAAGGAGAGAACGCCAGCTGTTCAGGTTGAGGACTTTCTGTTACCTCAGCAGCGAGAGTCGTTTAGTGCGGAGTGTGACCTGGCGATACAGAAGGCGAGGGAAGAGGATTACTATCATTTGCTTCACAATGAGTTTACGCAATACATTATTCGACGCGACTGCTGGGACACTATGGAAGTGCAACGGTCTAAAATTGTAAGTCTTAATGACCCTGCGCTTGAAGTTCATAATTTTCATCGCCGCAAGGCTGACCCTGAGGAGATGAAATTGTTGAAAAAGTTGAAGTTTTTGAGGTTGCTGCAAACGAGAGATAAAGACTCCTTTACTTTTTCTTCCTTGGTGAGGCGGCCGGGAAGTGATCCAGCCCCACTGCAGCAGGAGGGCATCATTGACGACGAAACTTCCAACTTTCTCTATGATGCGATGGACGTATACACAGATTTACGCGCTGTTATGCAAATCCATTTGCTTCGTGGAAGGGTGTCTAAGTTGAAGGTGGCGTTTAATGTTCGCTTTGACAGTCTATGCGAACGGAAGAAGCGAGAGGTTCAGCGTATTGCAGAACGAAATGATCGTTGCAGACGCATTTTGCGACAGCTTGGTGAAACCCCCGTTCCTGAAGATTTCTTCTTTACTCCCGTTTTTGATGTCGAGGAGGATCCCAGGACTGTTTTTGAAGTCTATGATTCGGAAATTGACCCTGAGTTACTCAAACTTGCCAAAAAGAACGACAATGATGCCTTTGCCATCTCCCCGACAAATGAAGCGGCGTTGAAGACGTGGATGGATGGTCTTGAAAAGGACACCGAGGTCCTGGCCGTTAAGGTCGCCCTACCTGCTTTTGCGGATGAAACACTGGAACAGTATGTGGCACCTGAGGATCGAACTGACGAGCAGCAAAGGATGTATGAGGAGTATGAGAAGCAACTTGCAGAGCAGACTACATATGTGAATGAGCGGAAGGAGATGTTGCGTGCAGAGATGGCAGAACTAAAACAGGCAAATACGGAAGCAGCAAAAGCGATGGATAACGAGATTTTCTCGTTGCGGAAGCAGCGGATGGAGGTAGCTGAGATGGTAGATGAATTGGAGTCCCACCAAATGAATGCGCTTCGCAGGCTGTTTCTCCCCACTACAATCTTGAATGAGCTCTTGCGCGTCATGAAGGAAAAAACGGAACTCCAAGGGCGTGTGAGACAGCTTGAAAGTCTTGAAATACATAGAGAAAAGTTATTGGCAGCGGAAGAGTCTCAATTGCAGTGCTCCATCGAGGAGGAAAAGGGTCTCGTCACACAGATGCGAAACTCTCCACCATTTGATGACAGCATCTGGGGGGATAAGTTATACAGACGTTTTACGAGGTGGCGCACCAGGTACGATGAAGGCCTTGTAACGGTCCCTCTGGTTGGGCAGAATGACACGATTCCCTCCTCTCTTTGGAAACTCTACTGTGAATGCTGCGCAACCGTTGTTGCGGCAAAAAGTACAGTGGCCCGTAACACCGCAACTGTTCAAACACTTATCGACGCGTTGACCGAGGTTGAAGGTGAACTGGTACGCATCCGAAGTGAATTGGAGGACAAAAAGACAGAGGAGGAATCCTGTAAGCAGGGTGCCATCCGCAAGCTTCTCAATGTGCAAAACCTATTTCGCCTGCGACAAGGTCAGGTGCAAGACGAAGAGGCCGTGCTAAACGAGGACTTTGCCAATTTCTCCTTTCTGTGGGTAAAGGATGTTTTAGACCACAACGCCCTTATCCTTGCAAGCTTTGATGAAATTTCCCGGCTTATGGGCAGTCTCTCGCGTCAACGACAGTCAATGAAAATGGCTGCCTGGGAGACCGAGCGCCTGCTGTACTGCGTGGGGACGTTGGAGATGGAGCTCCGTCAACTGCACACGCTACAGGTGACAAGGCAAATGCAAGAAAGCATCCACACCGGGGCGGTGGCCTCACACGAGGAGGAGGTGGAGAAATTGAACCGCCGAATTGAGTACGTCCGGCAGGTGATGTCAAAAAGGGTAGAAGAACGCAACAAGGTTATTACGCGATTGCAGATGCAGATCAACGATGGAGAATTGGAAAACACTGTATTCGGTGACCAGGTTCATCGCATCAAGAGTGTTGTGGACGACAAGAAAGCCATTTGGGATATGCTGGGTGAGCACAACAACGACGCAACGCGTCTTCGGGAACGAATGAGAGAGTTGTACGAAAGTAGCGAATTGGAGGAGCTGGCACGCTGCCAACAGGAGGAACTCGTGCGGTTAAAGCGCGAGGTTGACCGCCTCCGAGAGCGCACATTTCCTTCGTTTGCCGTTGTATCCAAGAAGACGGTGTCGTGAGTAGATGTAAAAAGAACACAAATTAAAGAAAGAAGGGGGTGGGGGGAGAGAGGCAGCTGAGGGAAGGCGGCTTCCCTGTGTGTTGAGTGTGTTTCTTTTCCGTATGTAGAGCTGGCACATTCTTATTTTTGTTTTGTGTTTCTTCTTGAGATGGGTAGTTAAAAGGGGGAGATGTGTGCGCTGTTGTGTTTCAAGGACTGGCCATGCTCCTCTTCTCCTTTTTGCCCTTCTTCTTGCTCTGGTGCCGAAGGGTGAGGGTGTCTTTGACATGATGGAAGTGAATGAGGTAGAGGCAGCGCGTGAGCATGAACAGCGCGTGAAGTGTGTGGAGGAGATACTTTTGCGCATCGCCTCTCATGAAGGCGTGGTGGGATATCTTGTGTTGAATCCTGTTGATGGGAACCTTTTAAAATTCTCCGGTTTTGGTGGCGACAGGACAAAAATGCAAAAGTATGCGGAAAAAATCAACGGGTTTACAAACCTGGCCTACTCGACGGTGCGAACTATCGACTGCAAGGATGAGCTTACCTTTCTTCGTCTGAGTGTAGGTCTGACGGACATTCTGGTTGCACCGGATGTAGAAAAGCAGTATGTAGTGGTTGTGATACAAGAGATCAAGCGATGAATGTGTGTTCGGCGCGTGCCGCCGTCTTTTTATGAGATCATGCGTGTGTGCGTTTTTTTTTCCCACCCATTTTCTTTCTGGATCGCAGGTGTGTTCGAGAGGGTCTGTGCGCCCCTCTCAAGAGAGAAGGCGGCTGAGAGATACCCCCGACTAGGACACCGGCTGCTGCTTCCACGTATATGGATGACGCTTATTGATTTCTATTTCTCGTTTTTTCTGCGCATTTTTTTTTTTTCCTTGACCAGGCGAAACAGGAATGTACGCGGTGAATCCATGGGGCGAAGTACTTCTTATCGGCAGTGGCGTCGGAGCGTATGCGATGGGTATTGGCATGCGCTGGCATGACTCTAACGTTCAGCTTATCGAGAAGCGTGTGGACCCCAGCTATGAACATTCGCTGCGGAGACGCTGCGTTTGCACCAACCAGACTGTGAAGCTGCTGGCAGACTTGGGCTGCACCAGGGCCAGGATTGAGAGTATTTTGCAAAGAGCCAAATGATGGCGTTTTCTACGGCCCAACCTCGAGATGATCAAAGAGAGTGCGGTGTTTCCCGGCTGTGCAGACGGGGAGGCGGTGTACCACTGCCAAGAGGGCTTGCTGCTTCGAATGTTGCGGACCGAATTCTTGCGTTTTGCAGGAGACATAAGTTGGGGAACGGTGGCCTTTGACACGTTTGAAAGCGGTGACGGGAGTGGGGCTTGGAGCTTGCGGAAGATGTACGGTCTGGAGACGGAAGCTGAGGCGATTATCACCACGGTGAAAGGCTCATCGTTTGCCTCTGTTTTGATAGTGGAGGATCCGAATCGAATGGCAGTCCTCTTCGATGAAGAGTCCGGCATTTTTTATTCCAGCAGAGAGCTCATTGAAATGGTGTTTGGTTCGAATGACGTCGCGATTGTGCTCGGATTCGGACTGGTGATTCATATGTGGCACATGAATAATAGATTCATTACGTAGAGAGCCGTCCAGCGGGGAAAAAAAGATGGCTCCGGTTTTGGCACCAATGAACTACATCCATCTATTCGTGAGGTGCTTGAGAAAAGTGTTGAACACCACGCTCGTGTGCGCCCTCTTCCGGCAACCACGCCAGCGATCAAGGATTCGGTGTCGCATGTGAAATTGGGTGTATTAGGCGAAGGGCTTTTACCGGTTAACCCCTTTGAGTGGAGAGGCGATCGCACGGTGCCTGATTGAGGAGGCTTCTGCGCTTTGTCGGGCTTTTTACGGGAAAACGTATCATCGTGAGAATGTGGCGTATCTTCTTCGAGGCCTCGAGCAGGACTCATTGTCGAAACGTGCCTCTCTGCTGCGGCGGGACTTGGAAGACGCAGAGCGCTTCTTGGCCGTTCATCCGGTCATTGAGGAAGAACCTGATGCCGTATCCATTCAACGGGTTAGTTCATAGACACACGTGGATGCCGTGGGGGCATCTTATTGGCAGGAGGTGCCACTCTTTAGGTTTTTGCTCATACTTCATCGTATTCTCTTTTAACCGCTCCACTCTAAACCGCTCCCCGCACACCTGCAAATAAAATTCGCCGATTGGCGCACCAATATGATCTTAATGTGTCCGAGTGTGTATTCATTGCTGCAGAAGAGTTGTGTGTTTTTTTCTCTCCATTTTGTATTTAGTTTTCTTCAAATACGAATATTCCAATGCTCAGCCGCACACGGTTTTGCCGCGCAGGCTTTAAGAAGGTTTTGGTGGCGAATCGTGGCGAAATTGCATGCCGCGTGTTTCGCACATGTCGTGAGATGAGGATAAAGACCGTGGCTGTTTGCTGCGAGTGTGAGTTGAATGCCAAGCATGTGCAGGAGGCGGATGAGGCCTTTGTACTGGGCCCACCACCCGCTACACTGTCTTATCTTCGAGGTGAACGGATTATCGAGGCTGCAAGGAGGCTTCGTGCCGACGCAGTGCATCCGGGGTATGGATTTCTCTCAGAAAGCCCGGAGTTTGCCGCTGCCGTTGCAGCAGCAGGGTTAGAGTTTATCGGACCCCCGGCTTCGGCCATGGCCTCAATGGGTTCCAAGAGCGAGAGCAAGCGCATCATGGAAGCCGCAGGGGTTCCCGTTGTGCCGGGCTACTATGGCGAGGACCAATCGTTTGAGCGCTTGTTTGAAGAAGCGAATAAAATTGGATTTCCCGTACTTATCAAGGCAGTTTCGGGCGGTGGTGGGAAAGGCATGAAGATTGTGCAGAACGTGGAGGAATTTGAAATCATGTTGGAAAGCGCAAAACGTGAGGCCATAAATTTCTTTAAGGATGATCGAGTTCTGCTGGAGCGTTACATTACGCAGCCACGCCACATTGAGTGCCAGATTTTTTTTGATAAGTTTGGAAACGGGGTGTTTTTCTCTGAACGAGACTGCAGTGTTCAACGGCGGCACCAAAAAGTGATTGAAGAGGCCCCGGCACCTCACTTATCCGCGGAAGTGCAACAGCAGATTGGGAAGGTTTCATTGACGGCAGCAAAGGCGGTCGGGTACGTTGGAGCGGGGACAGTGGAGTTTATTTTTGATACGGATAGAAACATATTTTTTTTTATGGAAATGAACACGCGCCTGCAGGTGGAGCACCCGGTGACGGAGGAGGTATGCCGCATTCAAGGAAGGCCTCTGGACCTTGTGCGTTTGCAGCTCGAAACTGCCGCGGGGACTCCCTTGGGATTCACTCAGGAGGATATTTTGATTCATGGGGCATGTGTGGAAACTCGAATATACGCTGAATCCCCTGAGAAGGGGTTTCTGCCCGGCAGTGGAAGGCTGGAATACATTCAGGAGCCACCACAAGGCATGCACGGCGGCGTGAAGGTCCGACTCGACACTGGATTCCGCACTGGAGACGATGTGCTTCTCCACTATGACCCAATGATTGCAAAGCTGGTGGTTTGGGGGGAGGATCGTTCTAAAGCTCTCGAAGGTATGTATACAGCTTTGGATGAGTACCACATTGTTGGTGTGCAAACAAACGTTGAGTTTCTTAAGCGTTGCCTCAAGAATTCCGCGTTTGTTGAAGGTGGTGTGACGACAAACTTTATTGAGACGAACCTAACGGATCTGCTCCAAAAAAAACCTCTCACGGAGTCAGTTCTAGCATTGGGAGCCGTATCCTTTCTGAACAGCTTTGGACCCGTCACAGCTGCATTTCGGTTAAACCATGCATTGGTTCAGCGTGTGGCTTTTGTTATCGATGGTCGTACCGTGACTGTATTGGTCAGTGTTTCTTCTGACGGCTGTTTTCTTTGCGGCATTGATGGTAGCCGCTGCAGAGTTAGGGTTGAGCGTTGGAACCCCATAAGCAGTGGCACCTTTGCCTTTACCGTAAGGATGGATGACGGGTGTCGGTTCGATTGTACTTCTATTGTGGCAAGCAACGAGATTGCCTTGGTGCTTCCAGAGGGATTTTATACCTTGAGGCTACCGTCGCTGGCTGAAGACTTTGGCAATGCGGCTCTGCAGGAAGCCGGGTCGGCGCGTGTGGTGAGTCCCATGCCGGGGAAGGTGACCAAGCTGCTTGTGCTCAACGGTGCGACGGTGAAGCAGGGTCAGCCAATCCTCATGCTTGAGGCGATGAAAATGGAACACTTTGTCAGGGCGACCTGTGAGGGTGAGTTGGAGTTCTGCGTGAGGGACGGTGAGACGGTAGGCGGAGATCATTTGCTTGCCAGCATTACTCCGGCCTCATAAGCCTCACCGTGCGGTCACGTGTGGGATTCATTTAGTGGCGGAAAGGAATACGTTTCCTCTCAAACAGCAAGGGAAAAAACAGTAAGGTGAAATTCCGGCCTGCTGGGGATTGCGTGCGACGCCTCATTCACCTTTGTACATATGGCAATCAACAAATTGTTCTGTGAAGTGTTCTCTTCCCAGCCTCGTTTGATCTCTGCACTCCGCCTTACTTGCATTGCCCCCTCTTTAGATGGGAATGTTTCATTTTTTTTTTTTATAGGTTGTTCTTATGCTGGTTATACCGACAGAACTCCACCGCTGCGTGTCTCCTGAGACGCTTGGCAGTCGGAGACCAGACGTATATGCGGGGAAACGCTTCGTGACAACTGCAGGCAATTCACCGGAGGGAATCCGCGTGTCGGCTTTGGAGAGCATGAGTTTTCTAGGTGCATCATCTAAACAAAGCCTTGAAGGCGTTTTGTGATGTGACTTCGCCACCAACACTTTTTTTTTTTGTCTTGCTTCACCAAGTTCTTCGATGGCGACTAGCGCCCGACATTGGAGTGGGCTCGGTGTTGCATGCGTGAGCTTACTGAGGGCATGTCTCTGGAAGTCACTTGCCGTGTGGCGAGGCGGCGCCGGGTGTTGCTGACGCCTATTTTGGAACCCTCCGTTATGCTTCAGCGCATGGGTGCCGTATGCACGTTTGAACAACACCTTGGAAGGCTAAACGACTGGGTAGTAGTAGTTTTTTTTTTTTTGTGCAGTGAACAGCGTGCTAGCGAATGACGCGGCATTGCAGGTGGTATTGTTGTTGTTGTCTTCTAAACCGACGCGTCTTGCGTCGCTGCGCGGTGTTTTGTGGATTCTTCTTGCATACATACTCATTGTATTTGCACTTTGGGGCAGTTCAGTTGCCTCCCGGTTTATGGGCAGCTCTGCGTGTTTGAAACAGAGGTGATTTCTTCTTGCTGTTGGGCAGGGAGCTGCCGGTGAATGCCATTTCAAAGGCGTATTCGCACAGTGTAGAATGCGCTGCTGTGCTGTGGCGGCCGTTCCATCGCAAACTACTACACAATGTTGCAGCGAAGCCTTTCCGGCATGTTTTCCAATTGTTCTTTCTTGCGCTCTTTGATAACCCTCCTACTACGCATACGCACTACGTGAGGTGAAGGCGTACTCAGGAGGGCGCCTCGAAACAGGGTTTTCCTTGGAGAGGAAAGGTGGATGTCTTGGGCGCAGTGAGTCTTTTTGTGCCTGAGTCGCATACCCCTTTTTGAACACAAGGTCTTTTTTTGCTGGTCTTGCTTCTCCTTTTCACAGTCAGTTTTCCGTTGCTGTTCTTTTTCATGTATGGGTCCTCACCGCACAACATATCTTTTTGCCTACACTTGCCAAATGATACCCTTGGAGTGCTGTTGCATTTGGGGAGGTGCCATAATAAATGACTTTGCAATTCATACACGTCAATTCAAGACGTGTTTGCCAATGCCTGGACGTCGTGCAACACGGGGAGAATGCCATCGAACTTGGCCGGAGTATTTTTTTTCGTCATTGCGGCGCCTCTCCTGGAAGGTGTTGTGTGTGTGTGTGTGTGCGTGCGTGAGAGCCTCGAGTGAGGCGCCATTTTATTCAGTTTTTTTTTTCTGTGGGTACGCACCACTTTGCGTCTAAGCGCCCGGGGGCCGGAGCAGAGTAAGGAAGGGAGAGGCGATTCTTAGGGGTTTTAGCAGACCATGGACAACGATCACGTGGCCGGGATTGGAATCGCCACACATGAGGAGCCAGATGTTGCATTGAACCCGTATCCTAGTTACAGGGCGGGGTCCTGTGGAAGTGCCACGAGCTTTGGCGAACTACGGGGTAGTCAAGGTTCGATTCGGTATGGCAGTCACCTGAGTTGCCGCTCCAGTGTGCGCGATGAATCACACATTATTGACGAGTCTAGGCGTAAGCAGCGGGTTATTCGTTACATGCAGGAGGAACGCGAGCGTGCCGCTCGTGCAAAGCTTGAGCGAGAAGAGCATAGCGACTGGATGACGTTTCGCGCGCTGGTGCGGTGTGAACGCATGCAGTACATGAACGACGACGAGAGAGCGGAGTTTCTCCAGCAGGAGGCGCTGGAAGCTGAACGCGAACGCGTCGCCGCCGAAGAGGTGGCCCGGAAGGTCGCCCAGGCCGCTCTGAATCGACGATACTCCGCGGCAAACACACGTCCGAGGTTGGAGTCACAAGAGGTGGTGATGGGGCCGCGTGGTGGGAAAGAGGCCTTCGCGACCGTCCCGCACAATTCGAGCATGGCGGCGAACCAAACCCCCACCACTGAGGAGCTGGAGAGTCTTCGGAAGAAGGTGGCGGCGGCGCAAAAGCTTGAAGTGGAACTCCGCTCCGAGCTTCTCCGTGCCCACGACGCCGCCACCAACGCGCAAGCTGTGATTGAAAAGGCCAGGCAAATGCAGCGAACTGCGGAGGAAAGTCTCCTGCGTGAGGCGAAGCGGGCAAATGACGAGGCTGCCATGAGGAAAATTGCTGAAGATCGCGCCGCATCTCTTGAAAAAGGAATAGAAGACATGCAGCGGCGCATTGTAGAGATGGAAGAGGAACTACGGCGACTGAGAAAGGAGGCTGAGAAGGAAGCGTTGGTGGCAGATGAGAAGGAAAGGCAGCTGAAGCCGCTTCGAGAGCAGTTGAGTGGTGTCCGAAAGGAAAATGCAGCGTTGGAAGCCAAATGCAAGGAGCTGCGGGCGGAGAAGGATGCGCTGACGATGCAGGCCCGTAATATCGCGTTTCCCAAGCCAGCAGCGAAGCAGAAAAGGCAACCACAACGAAACCCAATTCGGGCGAACCACTTAGGTGACGCTGTTGCGCAGACGGTCCTCAAGTCCTCGCAGCAGCCGTTGGAGGCCGCAAACAATGCTTCGCGAGATGACTGGGACGCGGTTCAAGCTCTAGGCAGCCAGTCAGAGATGCAGGCAACAACATTTGAACAAGTCAAGGAAGAGAATGGTGTTTCAAAAGACCATCTACAACAGAATGAGACGAGAATGATAAGGAAGTTTGAAGACCGTGCCACGCAGGCACATTGTTCCCAGAATGAAGAATGCCCCAGAGAGGAACTGAAGCAGGCAGAGGCAGAGGTAAAGCAATACAAGGCGGAGGCAGCGGCGGCTCGGCAGGAAAGTAAGGAGCTGCGGGTGACGACGGATAAGGAAATTGCGTTCCTAAAGGCGTGGTGTGCGCGTCTAGATGAGCAGTGTAAGCAGCAAATGAGTAAGTTGCGAGATCTGCTACCCCGAGAAAAAAATGGAGCAGATCAGCTGCGTAGCGTGAATGCCCTGAGAGACCTGGCAGGAGCGCCGGCTACCGGTGATTCGGCGCTTCCCGTAAAACTTCAGCCCGAGTTGAGCGAGGTGCGTGCACGACTGAAGGTGTCGGAGAAAGCAAAACAGCACGATGTCGCCATGGCAGATTCACTGAAGTCGGAGCAGGGATTTTCCTGTGCGAGTGGCGTTCACGGCAACTCCGACACCCTGAACCTGGTCGGTGTCTTCTCAAATACCAAAAAGGAGCCGAGGGGGGTGGAGGCGGCGAGAGAGGCTGTACAAGAGGAGCCGGCAGCCGAGCGGAACAAGGTGGAACCACTCCAACGCGAGAGGGGATTGCTACCAGAGACAATGGGTCTGACCGGGGCCAAAATGCCTTCAGTACATGTGACGGAAGATGTGAGGGTAGGAACTGGGGCGCCTTGTGTCGCCTCCAATGGGGTTTCAGCGGGTCTGGAGGAGCTCTACGAAAAACTGGCATCTCTGCAGCAGGAACTGGAAAGGGAAAGACAGGTGCGCATGGACGCTGAACGGGAGGCCGCCGCGCAAAAGGCGCGGGCTGACACGGCGGCAGCGGCTAGTCTGGGCAACACGAACAGGAAGGACAAGGCGAAGTGTCACTGCTAGATATATATATATATATATATATATATATATATATATATAGTAGAAGATACGTAAGAAGAAGAAGGAACGGGTACG